AATAGATATTATCAGGAGCATTATTTTAAAAAATAAGAAATGTGTTTAAATTGTATGTGTTTGCATAACTTAAGTATTTTATTGACCTGACTGAAAATTGATGGATTGTATACCTGGATTATTGAGCATGGACTTTTTTTGCTTAGATTTTGATTGTCTTTTTATCTCCCACAGGATGAAAGAATGTTCTCTGCACGGGACTTTCTCTGTATCAATTTTCCCCAACATGCCTTCTGCTGTAGAATTAGCAAAGGTACAAACACTAAATGCTTTTCAAACCAAAAGATGTGCAGTACTTAAGTTAAATATTCAGTTGAACAAAGAGTAAATACAACTAAATAATGTTAGCATGTATTAACATTAAGAATACTCGTTTCACAAAGTACTGAAGTGAGTTTGTTTAATTAAGCACTGAAATGTTAGATCACCTGATCCACCCAAAAGCACACAAAATGGTGGTAATTCCATCAATTTTACAAATATTGCACTTAAATTTGGTGTGGTAGTAGCTGGGAGTCAATCAAAAGTCATATTCTGAGAACTAAAGTAAAACTTTTTTTGGTTGTTAGCAAAATATCTCATGAATCTCTGGATGGATTTTAATGAAACGTGTAGAAAGTCATCACTGGCTGAACATCAAATAAACAACAAATAAACTTTTGAAGTCCGTTCATTTTAAAGTTGTTGCCATGGCTAATCAACATTAAGCAACAAAAAAATGATCTACAACTGTAAATTTTACAGCCTTTCAATTAAAGTTTGGTTATGGTAGTAGCTGAGAGTCATCCAGAACATACTCAGAATCGGATGAGATTGCACAAAATGTTTAAAACATTTGACCCAAACAGCTCATTTTCAACATCAGATCATCTTAATCTGAAACTTTGACATGAACAGCATCAAGAGCATTCCTTTAAGAAATAAGAAATGTGTTTAAATCATCATGTGTTTGCATAAATTAAATAGTTTATTGTAGATCATCAGGATACTTCGCTCACTGTGTCAGCCATTTTGAATAATGATTTTTTTTGGTGTCAAAATAAATTAACACATAATTAGTTTGTATATGAATCAAATAGAGTATAAATACTGTTGTATGTTTTAGAGAAAGGAAGAAGGATATTAGGAAAGTAAAATGTACTCACATAGATGGTTTGTAGAAACTAATTCTGCATGCAAGAAAATGTTCCGTTTCTTTTAAAAACTCTCAATGAGTTTTTTTTATTGTATTTATTTTAGATGCTCTGTGACAAAGTGACTGTCTCAAGGTTTGACGTGGTCAGCTACCTCAAGGTAATGCTCTGAAATAACCAGAGAAAATGTTTTTAATATTAAAAAGTGTTAGAAATTATGGCGCAATGTGTGACTTGGCATGTTTAATGCAAAAACCTTGAAATCTGAATTTCAAAACTAAACTCTGATCCCATAGAGTTTACATTTATAGTCATTTGTCCAGTTTGGAAACAGATGATTTCTTCAGAACTAAACCCTGTTTCCTTCATTTCTCAGGCTCCAGACCTCATAACAACATTTGATGAGCACCGAGTTTCTTCTAATTTTAAGTTTGGTGTATTATATCAAAAGGAGGGGCAGGTAAGGCCACATACAGTATGTATACACGTACATTGACCTATAAATGCTGCCTAAATGGGACGTTTCATCAGATCCTCTTCTCTCTGTAGCTCACAGAGGAGGATGTTCTGAGTAACAAAGAGGAAAGTGAGCAGTTCAAGGACTTCCTGTCGATTCTGGGAGAAACGGTTAAGCTGCATGGATTCACAGGGTAACAACAATTTGCAAAATTACGCCTAGATTTTTATATTCAAGCACTACCTAAAACAATCATTAGTGGATGAGAGAAACTAGTTAAAGGGACAACTTTGAACAAAGAATGAACCCATCATCTCAGTGGTTCTTATTAATCCAAGAATGTCGCCCGCTGATGTGATGGTAAAACCTTGAGAATAAACGTTAAGGTGATGTCACCCAATAAAGTGAAGCGTCGTGTGATGTGCTTATACTGATACTATCTCACTCAATTTTAGCTCAATATCTGTAAAAAATACTATTGAGTTTTAGCCACTTATGTGTTGGCTAATGTTAGTTGTGTAGCCATCTTGAATCAGGCTGACTCATGACTCCAGATGTCACTTTCTCAATGATTCATTGTGAGATATTTTGCTAACAGACAAACATGGCACTGAGGGCAGACGTCATAAGTTAATGCCAAATTTTAAAATGCACAATGTGTAGTGCTCAGCAGCTACTGTGGCAAAATTTAGCCTGATATCTATAAAACTGAGTGAGCCACATCAGTTTTGTTTTCTAAGATCAGCTGGCTGTGGCAGCCATGCTAAACTGAGTTGACTTCATAAGTTAATCAGTTGTAGATGAGCATCCAGTGATGTCTTTGAGGAGTGTTTCATTAAAATTTGAAAAGTTGTTCTTGAGATATTTTGCTAACAAACTGACAAACACACACACAATCAATATTATTATCGCTCATATTTTGCTTTTTAACAGCAGGTAATGAGTCACTGCTAGCTATATATTTATATTTTCCTCAAAGTAATCGTTATAATATAAATGAGATCCTTGTAATAATTACTGTTGTATGTCTTTATTAAACATGTGGTTTAATAAAGTAGAATTTCTAAACCACAGGTTTCACAAGTTCCTAAACTGACATGAAAGTGTGATGGTGTGTATTTTTTTTTTTTTAAAGATTCTGTAACTTAAAACACTTGACATTTAATTTTATCAGCCTCTTGCATCTTTTTGAGTTTTGCTGCTGACGTTGGGCTTCACTGGGTAACTTTCTGATTTATTTACAGCTTCAGAGGAGGACTGGACGTGTGTCATGGCCAGACAGGAAGTGAAGCGGTCTTCACTTCCTTTCATGGGAGAGAAGTCATGTTCCATGTTGTAACTAAGCTGCCTTACACCGAGGGTGACCCACAGCAGGTCAGAGCTGTTTCACCGTCTGTGCTGATGATGATTCATAAAATGATTTCCACACAGTATCTCTTGAAAACAAACGTTTCTTGAAGCAGTAACTTCTCCTTTCCCCCCACTTCCTCAGTTACAAAGAAAACGACACATTGGGAATGACATAGTAGCTTTGGTGTACCAGGAGGGCCAAACTCCCTTTTTATGTGACGTTATCAAGTCCCATTTCCTGCACTGCTTTCTGGTGGTGCGACGGGTTCAGAGGGAGGAGGAGGCAGGTGGGGTGGCCTACAAGGTGAGTGATGCTCATCCCGTTTATGAGGACAAGCTGACAAGACATTTACTCATTTCTAAACTGTATTTACATGACATAACACTCGTGTCTGTGTGGGTATGTGTGTATGAATGAAACACCAGACAAAACTTAAAGCTTGCAAAATAATATTACAGACATACTTATATATGCACATATATGTGCATATATAACAGTTTTTCAAGTGATGGACCCAGGAATACAGAGAAGGCAGACAAACAAGAGTGTGTTCACATTAAAAATGTTGTGTTATGTTGTTTATTTGTCATATGCAGGTTAACACAAAGTCAACACTGCAATGAAATGTTCAGGATAAGAAGAACTGGTCTAACTCACTAAAAACAAAACAAAACAATACTAAAGCATGCAATAAGGATACAACATAAAGTACCAAAAAGTGAATGTAGGAGTTGTGGTTTTGTCCCTGGTGTCGTGTTTATGACTGTGTTCCCCCTGATCCTCTGTTTCTCTTTATAGGGTTTGGATTTCTCTAGTATCTATCCCCATCTTGTGTTGTGGTCATGTTTTGCATTCTCTTTCTCCTTCTCTGGCATCTGTGATTACTCACAAGTGTCATCCCTTGGTCTAATTGGTGTTTCCTGTATATAAGTCTGTGTCTCTGTGTTAGTCCTTGTCCTGGCATTGTTATCTGTCCACTGGTGATGTCTTGTCCTGTCCTGTCCTGTTCCCTGTGATGCCTGTTCTGCTCATGTTCATTTCCTGGTTTGTGTAAGTTTGCTGCCCCGTCAGCTCTTTTGTTTTGTAAAATAAATTACTTATTTTATATTATCTTGAGTCCTTGCCTGCCTGCCTGCACTATTGGGTTCACCAGCACCAGCCAATCGTGACAGTGAAAAAAAAATATATATATTTACAAGGTCCAAAACAAATATAGTAAACAACCACATGGTAGAATATAACAGTACAAGTAGAATGAATTTGTATAAATACGTATTTCACAGACATATAAGCTTAAATTTTCATATTGCACTTAACTAACATATGCTATACAGATTGTGTGACAGGTTATTGCACAGGTACTGAGTACCAGCAGTTAATTTGAGCTGGTGTTACACCATATTCTATGATCACCGTACCAGCATCAATCGATTTGCAAATTAAGCCCTGGTGAGTACCACTGAGATTGAAGTATGATGGTAAGGTAGTGACATACATGATACAGCCACATAGTGCAGCAGTAACAAACATATTAAGTGACACAGATGTGGCTTAGTGCAATATTATTGTCAACTGTTCAGTGTTATTTATTGAGAGTTCAGTAATCTGACAGCTTGTGGGTAATAACTGTCTTTGAGTCTTTTTGTGCACGATGGCAGACTCCTGTATCGTCTGCCTGAGGGTAGTAGACGGAAGAGTTCTTGTGCTGGGTGGGTGTGGTCCTTAATGATGCTGCATGCTTTACAGTGTAAAGTTACCATGTCTGTGTAAAGTTTACACAGACATGGGCTGTGATAGATGTCCTGGATGGTGTGGAGGCTGCTACCAGTGATGTAGCTTAATTGATTAAACAGTAGTAATGGGCAAATGATACAGAGGCTTCAGAGCTTGTCACTCTTCCTGAAGCAGAGTGATTCATAACACCATGTCTAAGCTTGTAGCAAAACACCATCGGCACAGGACCAATGATGGTCGAGGCTTCAGATGTCAGCATTGCTTTATTTCACTCCATTGGCTCCCAAAGTTTCAATGCATTCTGATAATTCCAGTTTTACAGATCTGAATGGTTTGCAGCTACACAAGCTATTTAAGATGCGTCATGATTCTTAAAAACTGTTGGTTATGTGAGGAGATAGAATTTTGGAAAGTGAATTTGGTGTCGTTCATTGGTTTTCAGTGAACGACGTTCAAAAGTTTGAGATCAATTTGATCTTATTCAGTCAAATAAATACAACGTGTCCAAGGACGCACATTTTATGTTTCAATAAAATTACAATTGTTTGTAGGTGTTCGCTCTGCATACAGGAGTTGTCTTTCAGCAACAACACATAATCCATGCTGAGACACAATCATTATTTTGTACAAATGAACAATGTATACAATTAATCTTTTTTTATTCTTTATTTGCTTCCATGAAATGAAATTGTTAGTGCTTCAGTTGCTTGTGTGAGGTTGATATGGCTCCTGTTGTCCGCCAGCCAGGTATCTCCATCAATGAAGCTGTGAAGCTTTGACGCTTCATGAGGCTTCACATGCCCATCACTATTAAACAGAAAACTGTTGTGGCAGCAAAAAGAGAAACAAAACACCAAAGCCCTTGGGGACACAGAGGGGACACACTGCCAAACTCAAGGACTGACTGTTAATATGGACGTGGGCTGATGAGCTGAGTGGAAACACCTGGGCTACATGACATAAAATAACAGGGAACAGGTGAGAGTGGGCGGGGCAGAAGCTGAGGAGCAGAAAGTGAAAGGGTGAAGGTGGCAGGTGGTGGTGGGCACAGTTCCACCAATCCGCTAACAGCTAATAGCCAAAATAATTTTTCGTTTAGTGGAATAGCGTTTTTGCTAACTTTGAAAACCATCCACCTATCCATTATCTTTACCCTCTTCTTCCTTTATGGGTTTCAGGGGTCACTGGTGCCCATACTCAGCAGTCACTGCGAAAGGTGGAGAACACCCTGGACAGGTCTCCAGTCCATCACAGGGACACGTAGAGACAAACAATCATTCACCCTCTTGCTCACACCTAGGAACAATTTAGAGTTACCAATCAGCCTAACATGCATGTTTCTGGTCTGTGGGAGGAAACTGGAGTACCCCCCCAAAAAACACGCATGCACGAGGAGATCATGCAAACTCCACCCAGAAAGACCCCCGGCCGGAATTGAGCCGGCGACCTTCTCGCTCAGAGGCAACAGCTCTACCAACTGAGCCACTGTGCCGCCCACTTTGGAAACCATTAGCAAAATTAACTTCAGCTTATTTAGCTTTCGCTAACTTTAATTCCACTAACAAATTCACAAACTTGTTCCTGTCAGTTGTAGCATTTCTCGAAGCATCCGTTAGGCACGCTATTTGCTTACTACGTGTGCACGTGACAAGACGTGACAAGACGCGTGACTGGTCGACGGATTCAATTGGAAGAAGACAAAGACATGTGACTCAGATTGAGTGACATTCATCTTAGCAGTTAGCGGCATAGCATTAGCTTCTGCTAACTTTTTTACCTGTTTAGCGTTAGCAAAGCTAATTTTGTAGTTAGTGGAATATGTGTTAGCGAAGCTAGCTTTTTTGTTGTTGTTGTTCACTGTGCCCAAACACTGGTGGCAGGAAAACACAGGGATGCAATGACGCATACAAAGAAAACGGAAACTAAACATCACAAGAAATAAACATAAAAATACATTTCAAAACGGAAAGCTTCATTAAATTTATATCATGGCTAATTAAATATTTTGCTAACAGACAGACACATGCATTTTCAGACATGTGTAGAATTTTTATTTACTTTTATCTTGTGAATAAGTGATACAATATTGCAAAGCAGATTCACTATAAAATTAATCTTCATTTGCAATACATTATTTTTGTTGTATATTTTACATTTTTTCTGAGACTGGATGTAAAACAGGTCCAAGATTACTTTTGTTTCAACCTTGTTAAAATTTGAACTTGTGCACTCGGGTCATTGTTTTCTACCTCCAGGTGACTGTTACAGCCAGAGAAGATGTTCCTCCTTTTGGTCCCGTCGTTCCAGATCCTCCCTTCTTTACAGATGTAAGAAACAACAGGATTTAAAGCTCGTAGGATCCTATTAAATCATTTTCAGTCACTGTTACTTCCTGACGTGTCCAGTATTTTTGCATTGCAGCCACAGTCTGTTTCATTATATTTGTTCACTGAGAGTCTCTGTTTTTGACACATCACAGTAAACATACTGGTGAAATTAAACCACACAAAAGTAAGTACCGGTATATGTGTATTTGGCCTATTATTTCTTTGTTTGATAGTGCTTTTTGGCAATAAATCATATACCATTGTAAAGCTTGAGTTTCCACTTAAATGGTGCTGTATTTGTAAGGAAAAATCTGTGGGCTGAGCAGCAGAATTGATGTAGGTTGCACTCATAGATCAAACTAGTCAAATATTCTGTTGATGCCAAACAGCTTATTTTGTGATTGACTCCACTGACCAACACAACCATATAGACTGACTTGCAACAAATGCTGGTTGAAGAATATGATACCCCCACCCAGTACTAGGTTACCAAGCTGGTTAGCATCATAATGGGGAGGAGCCAAACTGTTGTGGCTGTGTATGGTTCATCCACATGCTACTGAGGCCTTCTTTTGAATAGATTGTTAAATTGCCAATATGTCTTGTTTCTTCAGACTTCAATCATCTAATCCAGTAAATGACACCAAACAGTCAATAGTAAAATACAAATGCACATTGTTTGACAAAACATTTGGCTAGTTTTTCATGGGCGATACCCACGTACACAACTCTGCTGCTCAATCTATAAATTTTCCAAACAAGCGTGGCACCATTTAACAAGTAATAACACACTTTCCAACTGAATAAGATTTTTTGCCAAGAAGTTTTATTACAACAATGAAATAATCAACCAAGCTCAAAATATTTTACTTTTTGTGCTCAGTTTTTAGAGACACAAGATCCTCACTGCTGATTAAAGTTTATTGTTGACCTGCCTTTGAACTTGAACGTTGCCTTTTCTGCACATGAGCCATGCATTCAGTCTTACATATTGTGTTTCTGGATGAGGAACAGTTTCCGTCTATCTTGTCTTTTAGCGTTCACAGCTGAGAGAATTCCTTCTCACCAAGATGATCAACGCAGAGATTTCCTGCTATAAGGCCGAGCAGTTTAACAGACTGGAGGTAGAAGGAGAAACAAAATGTTTTATTAATGTTTCTGTTTATCACCACCATCAGACTGTTCTTCATAATATTTTCCTCTGACATGTGAGATTTCTTATTTGTCTCCTGTTCAGCTGCGTACGCGCTCATCACTCCTGGAGAGCTTGAGAAATGAACTCTTCACCCGTTCCCGGTGCATGATGGGAGATCCATCGCTCACTGCTGTCCCCTCCTCTGAAGGTGTGCGAGCTGCGTCTGAAGGAGGTGGAAGCTTTATAGAAAATTTTAAGGTGAGGGCTGAAACACAGAAACATCTGACTGGGACCTAATTATACATTTTTTATTTAACCCCCCTGAATCGTCCTTTAGAGGGCCATCAGAGTACGGAGCCATTCGTTTGAGAATCTGGGAGTGCCCAGGAAGATATCTGGCAACATGTCACACAAGCCAAGGGTAAAAACAAAGCAGCATGACACATTTTGACTAAATAACAGCTCATCTAAAAAAGATTGAAGTCAATATGGTTCTTCTTTTTTTACAGACAGAGAAAGACGGAGAAAGGTGAGACGAAACAAAAGTGAAATGTTTGATATTTAGGAGCTGAGGAGGAAATAAATAATTGTTTTGTTTCTGTTTTCAGTGACAAACCTTCAGGACTTCTGCCTGACAGTTCAACGACATCTGACCTCAAAGATCAAGCAAGTCCTCAAGAGGAGACAAACATTTAACTTAAACTTTTCAGACCTACATTCAATTGTAGATTATGAGCTATATTATTGCTGTGGATCAATTATTTGTAAATAGAGTGTAAAAGTAAATAGATTTTTCAGAAAATATAATTATTTTGCAAACATAGAAGAGATATTTTAGCATACAGACAACTGTTAAACTATATTAGACTGATGATGACTTAATGTAAAAACTAACAAGAAAGATGAGGATGTGTAAACAGTTGACATTCAGTTTTGCTTTAGTGATGAATTTAGAAAGGGGAGGAAATTCTTAAAAGAAGAACGGTCTTTGTTTTTGGTTTTAATTTACAAAAGCTATGACAAAATAAATGTAAGTGGTTGGAAAAAAAACTATTGTATTATTTATTTGAAACACCCACAATATAGGTTATTATTCTTTTTTTTTCATTTAGTTGTCTCATTGAGCCATGAGGACTCATTTTCAATGAGAGACCTGTTTAGGGAGCAGATGGGGGTTAAGGGCATGGGCCCAGAGTGGGGCAAATGAGGGTGGGGGCAGGTGTGGGTGCTTCACTTACCCCACACACATTTTTGATGTTGTCGGTACCGGGGCGTGAACCGACGATCTTCCGATCACAGGCCCACCTTCTCTAACCTCTGCGCCACACTCCCCCATAAAGATTATAAATTAATTATGGTAACAATTCATACAGTCTGCTACTTTCAGGCTATTTAAAGGGGTACTTACAGGGTAATTACTTAGTACTTACCTGGGTATGCACAGGGTAATTCAAGTACTTACGAGGGTACATACTAAGTAGTTGCAAGGTAATCTTTGAGGTATGTACAGTGCACCTACTGGGGTATGTACAGGGTAATTTAAGTACTGACGAGGGTACATGCAGAGTAGTTGTAGGTAATCTTTGGGGTATGTACCTACGGGGTATGTACACAGTATTAGAGTACCAATGTGAATGAGTACTCTGTAATTAAGAGGAAAACTACAGAAATATAATTATCAAACAGTAAAACCACAGACATTGTAATGTCACAGAAACGTATTCAAACAAATCCCAAAAGTGAGTCAGAATTGTACCTTAGTGGGATCAATTTGTTGCTTATGTGCATTACAAATAACTGAGTTTCCTTCCTTTTTAGTTTACATTTAAATTATTGATGACTCTTAGTCATTTAATTATTATTTTATGGAGTTAAAGAGACAAAAAGGAACAGAAAACACAAAATACATCATAGATTACCAAAACAGCCATGTTAAATTATACTGTTTGTTGTCATTATTATTATTATTATTATTATTATTATTTAATGGATTTGCTCCATTTCTTTGTTGTTTTATAAAACAAAAGTGTCTTAATGGGCATTTAATTCAGTTTTCAGTTCAGTTTATTTATATAGCGCCAAGTCATAACAGAAGTCATCGCAGGGCACTGAACA